GGGCGCCCCGGGCCCTGCCCTCCCGGCCAGCGCTGGCTCTGCGGTTCGTTCCCTCAGCTCTTCGCCCGCAGGACAGACTTTCTTTCTCTCCTTCCAGGTCTCAGGGCCCCTCGACCCGCGTTCATGTGTCGCCGCGGGAGGACCGCCAAGCCCCGGACCGAGGACTCCGAGGACTCGGATGAAGACTGGACCCCAAGGCCGCGAGGTGCGAGCGGAGGGCGCGCAGGTGCCTGACCCCGACCCGGGTGCAGGTCGGGCGGCCTCTCGGGAGTTACCAGGGAGGAGCAAGAGGCAAAGCAGTTACACACCAGGGGCTATTCACATAAACCCCTTTTTATTAATACATTTATTAGAGGAGAGAGGAGAGAGAGAGAGAGAGAGAGAGAGAGAGAGAGAGAGACCTCCATCGCTGCCTCCTGCAGGCCCCCCACCGGGATCGTGCCGGGAACCTGGTCTGGGGCCCTGACGGGGATCCATCCGGGACCTCACGGTTCATAGGTCGAGGCCCAACCACTCGGCCACACTGGCCAGGTTCATAGAACCTCTTTAAATGTGTAACAATAATTATATACAGATTTAGTGTTGACACTATCACAGAGGTCCCCCATTTCTCCCCCTTTGCTCACCTTCACCCAGACCCAACCCCCAAATCTATAATAATAAAACCATAATATGCAAATCGAGGGAGGACCAGCTGAAGGACCCACCAGATGACCACGCTATGACACCCACTGGCATCAGGACAGCCAAGGCCTGTGAAACGCAATTGGTCCGGCACCACCATCCCCCATGATGCCCTGCAGAGGGAGGCCCAGGCCACTAGCCTCTGGGTGATCAATGGGGGCTCCCCATCACCCCAAAGAGGGAGGCCCAGGCCACCAATGCAGAGCTGGGGCTGCTGAACGGGGCCTCTCTCTGCAGGCGATGGATCTCAGGGGTCCCAGACTGCCAGAGGCCAGCTGAGGGATTCCCGCCCCCGCTCCTGGCCACGCCCCCAGTGCATAAATTTATTAATTTTGTGCAATGGGACTCTAATACATAGATAGATGATAGATAGATAGATAGATAGATAGATACTAAATAACAGACCTAAATGAATAGACCCCACACTGTACTCCCACTCTACTGGCCCCAGGAATTCCACGTATGTTCCCCAAAGGAGGTGACCTCAAATGTTCATTACAGTACTGTTCATGACAGCCAAAAACTAAAAACTTCCCAGACGCCCAGCAGTAATCGAATACATCATTGCATATCACACGATGGACTACTATACTGCAACTGAAAGGTATTACAACTATACTCAAAAATATGGGTCAGGTATGCTCTCCCCCAACACCCATGCCATTTCCCTCCTCCTCCCCTTCCCCAACAGGCACATATGTCTTAAACTCTAAGGGACTCCAGAAAACTTGCAACCAGGGGAGCAGTGGGCAGCGGCAGCTCATCCCAGGCTAACCCCTGAACCTGTCTCCAAGCCCCCTTTTCTATGGCTTTCCAATGAGCCAAAGCCGCCTGCCTAGGCTGAACTCTTTCCTATAACCTTTCTAGAGCAACACAGCAGCCCCGCCTAGGCTCTCTCCTGCTGCTGCTTCTATCCTAAGCCCTTCCTTGTTTCACTGTCCCCAGCTTTAATAAACATTCTCTCAAAATAAAAATAAATAAAAAGCCATGGCTAGGAGGCTCAGTTGGTTGGAGCATCCTCCCATACACCAAAAAGGTTTCGGGTTCCATCCCCAGTCAAGGAGTGTATG